TTGGTGATCCCTCGACTTCCCAGTATTTTGAATGATTGTGAAGACTTGAAGTGAAGATGGCCAGTCAACCCTGAAATCCACACTGCACAACAATACACAATGATACACAATAATGAGTGGGTACTTTTACACATCCAATGTTGTTACCATCATTAGAAAATAACTACTTAATTTTTTTAGTAGATAGTAGTGTATCAAGGGCATCTATGAGCATCTAAGATTCAAGGCGAGGCAAAATACTATCATCTGCATAACAATAAGTGTTAATACTCAAATTATTTATGTAAGACAAAATAAAAGGACGCCAAGGATAGAACCTTGGGGAACTCCATTATGTACAGTAAGACAGTCTGAACGGAGCGATATTGACTAGCAGGGATATTGATATTAATTGTAATACCCATGCATATCGATTTTTGCAGTACATTATGTCAAAGGTATGCTTTCTTGATTTTATGTTTTGTAAGAAAGTGCAACCTTTTGCAAATGATTGAGAAGGTTCCAGATTTTATTGAGTAAACTAATCCTGACAAATCTACACATTGAAACAGGACTCAGTAAATACATACATGCTCTTTCCTAATGTTTCCTTCTCTCTCCTCTCTTTCCTAGCTCCCTCCTTTTCCTCCAAGTGGACAACAGGCCATGCTCCCGTCTGCCCTCTACCTGTTTTCCCTATGCCACAGAGGCAGCCAGTTTCCTGCGTGCCGTAATGTTGCTGAAGACCTCCTCATTCCCCATGCTTGATGAGCTAACAGTCGTCATCAGTATTAGAGGAGTCCGAGAGGAAATAGGAAGCAGAGAGGAGGAAACTGAGATAAAGGAAGTCAAAGGTAAGTTCACATGTCCTGTCACACACGCACATTTACACATCCAGCTTTGAATTTCATCCAAACAAAACACTATAAAACACTTTTCCGTTTCCAGTGTGTAGGTGTTGGTCATCACTACAGGTTTGAGTTTTGGTTGTTCAAACATTTTAACTCAGAGAGGGAAAGCATGAACCAAAATGAAAAAGCAGGATATCTGGTGAAAATATAACAAGTACTATAAATTAAAATTACTTTACATTTATTTTTTATGACCTTTGTGATGCTGGCTGGTCAGAAGGCTAGCTCAATACATGCTAATACGGATTCCACCATGGTTATGGGCAGTAGTGCTGTGTTAGGGTCACCAAAGCAGCAGTTTAGGTGTAAGCATACCATTTAAAAATAAAATATAAATTAAATTCAGATTATAGATGATTGGGTTTAGGTAAAGGTTAGGAGAAAAACTTCTGTCTCTGCCAATTACTAGATCTGTATCAATAAGAATATGCTTGAAGTATTGAGTATTACTTTAAAGCCAGAGGCAAAAATACTGGGCTTCATCACACCAAACCAGTGAACTTTTTTAAGAAAGTTTAGGATTTTAAAACACAATCACCATTTTACTCATTGTGAGGAACATTTATTGGATGAAACTGAGCACTTAATTTAATACGACCACATACTGATATTGACTGTTGATTGATAGTGTGGTAAGTATCTTGATATGTTTTTCATGCAGCCCTTACAATAATTGTAAAAATTAATTTTGTAATCTTCCTCTCAAAGAGCCGACGCCTGCGTGGCTGTGGGCCGTGATTGCCATAGCGATCGGCCTGCTGCTGGTGCTGGTCCTGGTGGTGTTCTTGGTGGTGAGGAGGGTGAGGCAGCAGCGGGCAGAGAGGGAAGACGGCAACAGGGTGAGACACCGGTCCACAGTCACAGACAATGACCCCAAATCCAAGGCCTTGACCCCGCACACAGCCCACCAAGAGCAGAGGGTCAGATCCAGCAGAGAGAAAGACAAGATCAGCTTGAGGAAAAAGAAGAAAGCAAAGGAAGCAGAGAAAAAGAGAAGGCGGGAACCGCTGGGGGAGGATGCCATTCGGATGCGGTGAGAGGAATTGCTTTGAAAGACATGAGAGGATGTTTGGTCTGCTGGAGGAATGATGTCATGTAACAAATATGGTGTATTCTAAAACAAGTGAGAGTTCATCCAGTTATTAAAAAAGGCTGAATCTGTTGGATATTACTTTTATCCTGTTATACAGTATGTATTGTACATTCACATAGTATTCATAACGATTTAACAGTTACTGAAAGGAGGAGGCAAACTACTCATTAACTCTTCCTCTCACTCCCAGTGATTTGAATCTCCAATGTCCTGTTACCTTTTTTCTATTACTGCTATGAATTAAACAAAAATACCAGATATTTCCTGGTTACCACATCTCAAATTTAAAGATTAGATGCTTGTCTCAGTTTTATGTAACTGTAAACGAATTAAAGAGCTTTGGGTTTGTGAATGTTGGCCTAACAAAACTTTAAGATGTCCCCTTGGGTTCTGAGAAATTGTTATAGGCCTATTTTGTAACATTTGATACTATAGATGCTTAATTGATTCGTCTGGAGAGAAAAATGAACAGACTAATCAATGATGAATATAACTGATATTCACAGCCGTCATGAATGTGTATTGAAAATATTGTAAGAGCAGGGACACTGTCAGTGTCCTGGTGGTCAAGTGGGTAAGAGCGCATGTAATGTCCCCAGTTAAGTTGCAACCAGGAACCTTTGTTGCATGTCATTGGCCTCTCTCTGTTTTTTTCCTGTCTTTCTATACTGTCACATACTGTCAACTGACAACAGCTCACTCCGGGCTGTGAAACAATAACTATCTCTAATCCCTGACACGTTCAAGGGTCCAGGTGCATTTCCTCGAAGTCTACAGTACCAACCCACGTATGTTTACATTTTAGGCAAACAAACCCTTGTATTCTTGGGTTTGGGTGTGTCGCAGAGCTCTTGAGTGTTTTATAAATCAAATCAACTGTGCTTTTGGTTTTCAGACCTCTCAAAAGGGACCAGGATATAGGAAGTGACACAGACTTTACCCAGAGTTCAATGGAAGACATCAGTGCGAGATGTTCCAGGCGACAGGAAGCCGCCTCCATCTGTGACCACAGGACCCAGGAGCAGAAACACTACCGGGCTGGAACCTCACAGCCACGCAGACCTGTACAACGTGAGGTTTATTCACTCATTCACTACTCACTTACTCAATCGCTCATAGCTCCCAAAACTTTTATTCATCTGGGAATCTGGAATATATTTTTTACCACGTCCAGCATTATGGTCACAAAAATACCTGTTTCTGATTGGCTTAAGACAGCTCAAACATTTCTGAAACAACAGATTGATCACTGTTATAATTCAGAGTGTAAGGTGTAAACCACAGCTAACTATAACATTTTATATATACTCTAATTTTAAACTCAGTCTTCATTTGTTTGGTAAGTGTCTATGGTATAAATGAAACAGCAATGGTGCACTCTGAGGTTTTCCTAATGTAAAAAAATAATGGGACTCCCTCTGCACTACATCTCATTCTTCACCTCTATTTTTTATTGTTATTTCTTTACTGGACTTAAATAGAGATTCAACAATTACTGGATGAACAGAAAATTAATCATCAACTTTGATACGTTTGGATAAAAATGGCAAAAGATCTGTGGTTCCAGCTTCCCCAAAATGAAGGTTTGCTGCTTTTTCTGTTTTATATAATTGTAAACTGGGTACCTTTGAGAGTGATCTGAGAGCTCAATGATTACAGCACAATATCTCATAAACAAGACACTATACAGAGACTGTGAGTAAAACAGGACTCATACTGATATACTGCGCCGTACAAAGTTACAGTTTGAAAGAGATAACATGTAATAAATCCTTCCATTTATAGTATTTTTATGTGTATTCAAATCCTTACACAAATAATTCTGGTTCCCTCTCAGCTCCACCTAGAGGATGGGAGAGAAATGCCATGCCTCCTCCTCTGCTCAGTCCTCCTCAGCAGGTCTGTCTGTCTTTTTTTTTTATAGTGTTTTTTTAAATCCAATTTGTAAGGACCCATTATTATTTAGGGCTTAGATTTAACCATTGGGGCTGTATTTGTTTATTCTCCTTCCCATGTCTTTATGGAGATAGTGACATGGTTCACCTTGCTGTTATTCAGAAGAGTAAGACATGCTCTTAGAGTTTTTTTTTAACTTCTATAAGTCTCTTTAGTTTCCTGTTTTACTATTTTTTCTCGTAAGTGTAGTTATGTTTCTGTTTTAAAAAGATTTAAATTTGTTTAGAGCTTGATTTTAATGCTTTGTTGTTTAAGGGTTAGGGTTAGGGTTAGGGTTTTTTTTTGTTTAAACTTACTATAATTATTGAACACTGTATAATGCCAAACTTAAACTGCTGAATATGTAAGTATATGTGAAATATGTATTATATATTCATCATGGCTTGCTTGTGTTGTCAGTCGGCAGAGTGGTGTGGCCCGGATGGGTCTGTGGTTCTGATCCGAGCGGTGCGTAGTGGGCTGGACAGAGTGGTTTTGGAGCTGCTGAGAGCAGGAGTGCCCGTCAACAACACTGATCATACTGGTAATGCATCAATCACTAAAATTAGTTACTAATATGACATTGGCACTCAGAAATCTTTTAAGTATTTGCATGTAATTCTTGGTGTCTGTTTTAACCTTCTTGAAGTAAGAGCAATGTGAATACCAGGAATTGTAGCTAATTTGATTTAAATTACAGTTAAATAATCCATCGCATAAGGAAAGTAGGTTAAAACATTAATGAGGAATTATGTGCAAATGCAGTTTTCATGATATCCAACCACTTTCCTGCAAATGTTATGTCAGCACTGAGGTCAGAAGCAGAGATTGAGTAATTCTGCTTTAACCCCTTCATGCATGAATTGGTTAAAAATGTCTGACTTTGTAAGTGCTTTTTGACTATTATTTGGGCTTTCACAAACATTATGTAATAGTCCACACTTTCTGTGTCACAATCATTCAAAACACTGGGAAGTCGAGGGATCACCAAAGTTAGTCTGCTTCAACATTTTTAAATTTCATATCAAAATATGTTAGATAGATAGATAGATAGATAGATAGATAGATAGATAGATAGATAGATAGACTTATTAGATCCCAAGCTGGGTAAAGAGGAACTAGACGGGTACAGTGAACAGATGTATGTACAAAAATATAAGTGGAGACTGTATTGTTATGACCAGAGTTTTAGCTGTTATTGTACAGTTAATAACTCTGGTCATAACAATACAGTCTCCAAGTTGAGATATTTCAGTCTGAAAGAAAGACTAAACAACATTACACAAAAAGTCTTAAACTTACCTACCCACATGTCATATTTGGTCTCACCTTGGAGAAAAATAACATGTTGAGCTCTTGATCCATTATTTCCTGTACACTGAGGGGCTGAGTAACTGGTGTAACTTACCCCGTTTCTCTCACATCCTTCTTCTGTGTCCCTCCTCTCCCGACCTGTGCTCATTTCTCCGTGGCTTCCATCTCTTCCTCCTCCTCCAGCTCCCCTGCTGCCCTCCTCTGACTCAGAACAAAGTTAATGTGCCTTAGTGCTCAAACTCAGTTTGATGGACGTATTAACTTTGTTGCTCATCTTACTCCTTGCTTTTGCTGTCTCTTTGTCTCTCTGCTCTTCTGTCTGCCTCTTTTTACATCTCTTATTTTTGCCTGTCTTCCTGTCCTCTTTTTCACTTTGGCTGAAAAAAATTCATCTCTGCATCCCATCCCTCCATTCTCCCTCTCTTCACCATCTGGGCTCAACTCTGTTGTGTAATGGTTGTTCATTGGCTGACTTACTCCCTCCCCTCTTCCCCCATACCTCCCCTCCACTCACACTGTCTCTCTCAGGGAGATCAGCCCTGCACTGGGCATGCTCAGTAAACCACCTCTCCCTAACAAGGACCCTCATTCGCTATGGGGCCGCTGTGGACCTGCAAGACAATAAGGTAAGGTCTTGTTTCTTTATCAGTGGTTCATTAATTATATATCATATAATTATAAATATAAATTTGATTATCCATGTTTTAAGTTGTACAGGTGACTGGTGTATTATTATGTGATAGTCACTCTGAATGGTTGGGTAGATCACCACAACACTTAAATATCCTCCGCACATCACATAAGTTATATTTACGATTATTTCCTTGATAGGGCGAAACAGCGCTCTTCCTCTCCGCCCTCCATGGTTGCTATGATACGGCCAGACTTCTCCTCCTTCATGGTGCCAACCTTGAGCTGCATGATCGGAGAGGACGTCGTCCGATCGACGTGGCCAGAGAGGGCATGCGTCACCAGGTGCTGGAGCTCCTGTTAGCTCACCAAATTCAGAGAGGGCCCGTTCCCGTCGACTCGGCCAATGACATGCTGTGGGAGGAGCGTGCACTGATGTACTCGCCATGGGTCGGATCACAGGGCCTGTCTGGAAGAAGTGCCTCCTTCTCTGGGATCATAGGAAATCGAGATATGACCCCACCTCCACAAAAGTAAGGTTTCAGTAATACACTGCACACAGTATGTTTTTGTTTAGTTTCTGATGATGTGCCACTAGATGAGTAAAAGAGAGATGAGTGAGAAATGTACAATTAGAGCTGAAATGATAAGTCAATTAATCAGTTAATCCAAGAGTAAAATAATATGCAACTACTTGATGGTTAATAATGAATAATTATCACTTTTCAAGCAAACTGTTGATTGTGAGAATTCCTTAGTTGCAAGTGAAAGTAAACTGATAATAGACTGAATGTAGAGTTGGTTGAACTAAACTGATGACATTTTTCAGTATTTTCTGACATTTTATTGACCAAAAGTTTCACAATTAACACTGTGAGCAGAGTGGATCAAAGGATGATGAGCCTTTGCTCATTTTAGCCAGTTAGCAGAACATCACATAAAACTTTTAATTTGCTGTTGGCATCAAACATATTTTACACATTAACTAAATAAGAGGAATGGCTACTGGGTGCTATAACAAAATGACTACACTGTTAAGCACAGGAGTATAAAAGTGACTTGCAGCTTGCAAATTCCTTGTGAGAGGTAACAATCCATATTCACACATTGCAGTAAATCAGTATTCTCACAGTTTGAAAAAAATATTTTTAATTGTAAAATATGTATGTCACACAACATTGAAACCCCTGCAATATACTGTGATGAAAATAAGCAAAAACCTGGAGTGGATTTTTTGGGGGGAGCTTTACAAATCTAAAGCCAGTATAACCATCAGCTCAACTTCCTTGAGATGGGTAATCAATCACAGTGGAAATGAAATTTTTTTGTTTCAGTAAAAAATCGAAAAGCTGTCTTGTGCTAAGGCAGTTACTGTCCTGAAAAACGCATCCTTGATGGTGCATTCAAAGACACTCTAAAGTTGATTTTAGTGTTGGCTTTCTAACTCTAAATTTGTATTTTATGGGACAAACTGACACTTTTCTGCAAAACCTCTCTGTTACTGTTACAGTCTAATATAGGGATGATTTTCTTGTCTTGCCAGTGATTGGTCGATGAGCCGAGTGCAGTACCCCTCTCCTCAGAACTGGCGACCACAGCTCAACCAATCAGCAACAGCACTGGTCCCGCCAAGAATCATGGGCCGCTCGCCTCGGCCAATCAGCACCTTACAGGAGGTTACTTCAGAAGACGAGGATCGGGACAGGCACCAGGAAGTCCCCAGAGCTGCAACACCTCACTTCCTGTCGCCCCAGCCTGCCCCTCGGCAGCGTTCCTTCTCATGCACCCAGCATGCATTGCAGCGTCGCTCCAGTGGCCACCAGCCAGAGCCCAATTATGTTATTGTGACAGACAGAACAGCCAATGAGCCCATAGAAAGAGTGGTTGTTTCACCTCCCGCAGATGTTATCGCCCAATCAGATCGCCAGCCAGTTGTAAATGGTGACAATCCCAGTAGAGCAGAACAAGCAGCAGTGAGTTCAGCAAATTCAGAGCAGAAATCCAGAGGTGAAAGGTCAAACAACACTGCTGACTCCACACAAACAGCCTTGTAGAGAACAGACAGAAGAAGCCACAGCTGCCTTTCCATTCAGCCTATGTGAATAAGATAATGACTTACAATATTGACAGAGAGGCACTGAGATTAAGTTTGGCATAAGGTATATTTAGTTGTTAAGCTCAGTGCAAAGCAGAGGGCTTAGAAGGAGGCCCAAAGCTGGAGGGAGTCCAACATTGATTTATTGGGACCTTAATTATTATCCAAAATGCATCTGTTGGGTGTCGCCTGACGGATTTGCTTGGTTACTTGTTACATTCTTGTCAAATTAATACACAGCAGCACTTACCAAATCACCTCCCCAGTTTGCCTAAATTATTATTATGATTATATTTTTTACTAGGGAGTGGGACACTGTTCCTTGTAAATGATCTGTCACATGACAGAGTCTAATAGGTAATATAATGACATGTCTGAGATGTCAGTCAAACGTGATGAACATCACAGTCAAACTGAAATCTTTATAAATACTCTAATATATTCATATTTTCTTGACATTCAACAGGTCATATTCTGATTATTGCGGAAACGAACAAGGAGAAGTTATTTTTTAAAATATGTGCATGGTTGGCACATCCTGCTGATGCAATAAAGTGACTGTAAATAATATGGATTTTGTATTTTATTTTCAAATGACCTTACCTGGTTGCCATGGTGGAGTGGGTGGAATTCAACAAACCCTGAAACCCAACAAAGCCTGACCAATTTGATATGTCAGGAAACTTTAAAGATTCCCACAACCATTTAAATTAAAGCTATTTTTTTGTTGGAACACTTTATTATATTGTTATTATTTATCATAATATATTATAATATATTATTATTAGAAATGATAATGTTACATAAGATTTTATTTAAACACAGGAGAGGCAAACAGCACCTAAACATAGGCCTGTCTTCAGTGCCAGACACTTTTATTGAGCAATAATTCACACCAATAAACTCAG